AGTCACTGGAGCATCAGAGGCAGCAGAGGTTTGACTAAACAAGGTGATGACCATTTGTAGCACCTATGGCAGGAAGTCTAATGAAGTTAGAGCTAGTGCCAGCTTGCCATCCTCAAATTAAATCCAAACAGCTTATGACTGCTCTCTTTATAGCATATTCTATTATTTCTGAATTTTTAATGTATTCTTCTGTATAATGTATCCTGTAAGTCCGTCTCTAGCTTGGTGTTCTTTATTGAGAGATTTTCTAAAAATAAAAACTGTTATTGTAGGAGCATGGTGCCTGAAGCACTGCCCTTTTATTTATAAAATTTCTATTATAAAATGGCCTTTAATTTTCCCATAGATATCACAAGGCAGGAAATTGGGGTTAACAAAAAAGGGACTTATGCAAATAACAGGGCACAGTCTTCTGACCTGAGATGCTCACTACATGCATTTGATGTCACAGAGACCATGAGCTCTCATTGCTTATGAATGTTTAAGTGGCTGAACCTCTAAGCTGTTGTGGTGCTAACATTGCTTCTCTCATAAAATGAGCTAGGCGGCTAAAATAGAACAAAGAAGGCTCAGTCATCTATCAGGAAGGAAACAAGTGGAAACCAAGAGAGGTAATTGTTATTTTTAATTCCAGAAACATCAAGAGTGTAAAAGAGGAGATGTTTGAGGAATCCGTAGAACTAAATAGAAGGGTAGAAAAACAGCTTCAAGATGAAGTTATTTCCAAGGATTTCAGGGAAGCAAACAGGCTAGGGTAGAAAGACAAAGGTTAAATATTTCTGGAAAAAAATCCTGGACCAAAAAATAGAGTGGACTAATGAATTTACAGAGTATTTAAAAATGAAATTTTAATCTATTGTTTTAATTTGTAGTAGTCATGCTTACTTAAACATATGTACATGTTTGTATTTGTGACTGATGTGCACATATGTAACCAGAGCAGCCCACTCACTGCCACTGAGGCAATTCTGCTTCATAGTGACTCTATAGGACAGGGTAGAACTGCCCCTGGGTGGACTCTGAAATGTGCATTTATATCTTTAGTGCTTGAAAGATAATTACATAATATATATTTAAAATGACAACCTCACTACTAATTCTGCATATGCATATATTTTAATAGATTATTGTCATATAATTCACATGATATCGTTAAATATCTCAATCACATTAGAATTGTGAAATCATTAGCACCATTATTTTCAGAACATTTTCTTCTTTTTTATACTCATTATTTTTGCTCCCTATTTCCCCCCAATCTCCTCTGTCATGCCCCTAGGTAATGATTAATCCACTTACTTTTCTATAGATTTACCTATCCTAGATTTCATAAGCAAAAATTACACAAAACAATAATAAAAAACAACAAACCCAAGCCCAATAGCAAAGACAAAACAGAGCAAAACCTCAATCAAAAAGAAAACAGAAAACATTAAAAATGGAAACAATTTTAAAATGAGTCAAAAGGGAGATTGAATGATAAGGTGTTACATTATAAGATAACTACATCTGCCATAATTTACTTTACCATGCTGTCTGTCTGATATCAAGTGTATTCCCTTCCCGGGACTATGGCTAGAGGGAATTTATCAGAGGCTTAATCCATGTAGGATCCTGCAAATGGATTTTGGGCTTCCACTGTCATTCATAGTTTTCTTCTCATATATTTCTGGATGTTATATAGCTACTTAAATAGGGACTTCTATTGCTATTAAAACAAATTTCTATTAAAACAAATAGGAAGGAAAGAGTGGGTAATGGGATTTGGAGATTGGACGTCAATTTTCCAAGGTCAAATCCCCAAGAAATGTTCCAGAATGGAACATTCCAGAATGGAACTCCTCAAAAGTGGCCTTGAGGAGACCCTCTGTACTCTTGTGTTCAGCGTATGAATATCAAGAAAGGAAAGACCAATCTTCTAGAAGAATTATGTGAGGAATAAACTTCTTCTTAAGATGAAAACATGAATTTAAAATTGATATCAGATTGAGTTAATGTCACCAAGGCTCCTGTTACTGTAGATTAGTATAGTTGAATATATCCAGTTTGTCTATTCTTTTTGTATAAAGCAGCTACCTAAAGCAGAAGTAGGCTCCTGGGTTTGAGAGCTACTAAGGGATTGCAGTTGTCATTTACAAGTGGTAGGCATTAAGAAAATTAGCATATCTAAACATTGACCAAATAAAATAGTTTATATTTTTACTTTTATAAAAAGGTGAGTCAATGAACTTATCCTTGAGTATAATTAGCGTTCATGGTAAAGCAGGAATTAAATGTCAATACAAATGTTGACAATTATCTGTCACAATGATCTGGTATCTTTATCTCCTATTGATTTTTTTCCTCATGTGTATTGTGTTATCTGATTCTATCAATAGAATTTTTATTTGATTCACTATCCAGAAGTGTAAACCACAGATTTTAAGTAACTTGTTCCATAACACATAACTCAATAAAGGAACATGGGTGTGAACCCAAGCCTATTTGCCTGTAGGATCGATGTTCTTACTCATTTTACTTCATGTCTCTGCTGCTTTCATCCCTCGCTAAACTGACCACTATTGCAAGATACATTAATATAATGTAGTTTAAAATAAATGATTGTTAACAGATCCAATGCTTTGAGTTTATTTTATACTTTGGATTTCTGGGTGACGGCTTGTAGATGGAGATGGCGGCAAGTAGCAGCATAAGTCAGGACTGGTGTGGCCTTGGGCTCTGTCTTGGAGGAAGTAGGCCTAGAATATTCCTTGGAGACCAAGATGACAAGACTTCATCTTACATATTTTGGACATGGCAGGAAAGACTAGTGTCTGGAGAAGGCTATCATGCTTAGTGAAGTGAAGGGGCAATAAAAAAGAGGAAAGATCCCTAAAGATGGACTGACCCAGTGGCTGCAACTTTGGGCTCAAGGATCGATTGTGAGGCTGGTATAGGAATGGGCAGTGTTTTGTCCTATTGTGCATAGTGTCCCTATGAATTAGAACTGACTCAGTGACATCTAACAACAACAACAACAGCAACAGCAACGTGCCCTTGGGAACATAATGAAATGGTTGTTCTAAAGCAGGCAAATAAAATATAATAACCTACACAGTTGTATATCTGTTAGTTTTATTTGTTAACTGTAAGTTGCATTCAACAAAATCAGTTTATTGGTAATTATCCCAATAACACCTACTGTTCTTTAATGTTGTCCCTTAGCAAAATATAATTCTATCCAAAGATTGACTGATAACTTCCTACTGAGCATTATCCTTCAAAACTTATGGAAAATAAACTCAAGAGTTGAAATAGTTGTTTGGCTGACTCTTGGAAACGCTTTCTATGGGCAAGGCAGCTGGCTTAAGTGATATAATAATAAGCACGATTTATATGTTTTTATTGAAACATAAGCAACATTTGCATATTTTCAAAATTGACCATCATCATGATTCTGTGAGATGATCAAGTAAGGTATATATGAATTATTGTATAATAAAATTGTGAAATTTTTAGCAGCTATGACTTGATAAGCTATACTTGATCATATTGGACCAAATTGTATAAATAATTGGTTAATAATAACTCCTCCAGAGTGTTTCTATGTATTTTCTATTATTTACGTATCTGTATGTGTTCTGCATATATATGGGAGGCATTGTCTTCTGACTGTAAGTAATTTGCAGCTTCTTTCTTAAGATGACTCATATGAAGAACAGAATATGAAGGTTCTTACCTTGACGGGTGAGTGGATATAGTAGAAAGGCCACCTTAAACTTTGAAGTTCTTAATATGTGTAGAAAAAGAAAACAAACACTCTCCTCACCTTTCCCTTATGGTCCCTTGGAAATAAATTGGGCCTTGGGGTTAGGAAAATCACAGAACTTCTTTTGTTAGGTTTTTAAATCTTAATTTCTCAAAGAATGGATTTGCTACCAGTAAAATGGGGATAATAAGACAACGTGGACAGTGTCATAAACACTAGGCACTAAATAATTGCTTTCCTTGCAACATTTCACAAACTCTTTTATTAGATTCTGTTTTCATTTTAAAATAATGAAGAAAAAAGGACAAAAACACTTTCTGTATAATTTGACAGTCTAGAGATAGGAACTTCTATTTCTCAATCATGGCTCTGAGTCAGCATTTTTCATCTTTGAACACAGTCCCATGTCAAGTTTTTCAGCAGGACCTGACTTCAAGGTTAAGGTGTTTACCAAGAGTGTTCTCATATAGCCCTTTGTTCATTCCCTCAGCAAGCAGGGCAGAAGCCTCTGTTTTGTCCCTAGAGTAGCACTTACAATAACTTTATTTGTGGATGCACCTTGTTGAACTTGCTGCTTGTTGAAGTCTGTTAATGTTATAAACTAGTCTGAGGCCAATATCCCTTTCTCATTATTTCAGATTCTGCACAGTCGCCGTGGCAGCTCTCATTCTGCCTCTGAAATCATGCAAAACCAAAGCCTTGTCACTGAGTTTGTCCTCCTGGGACTTTCACAAAATCCACACGTTCAGAAAATTGTATTTGTTGCAATTTTGTTCGACTACATAGCCACTGCTGGAGGCAATTTGATCATTGTTGTGACCATCGTCAGCAGCCCAACTCTCCTGGCCTCCCCCATGTACTTCTTCTTGGCTTTTCTCTCCTTCCTGGATGCGTGCTACTCCTCTGTCATTGCCCCAAAGGTGATGGTGGATTCCCTCTACGAAAAGAAAACCATCTCATTCGAGGGCTGCATGACTCAACTCTTTGCTGAACATTTATTTGCTGGAGCAGAGATCATTGTCCTCACAGCCATGGCCTTTGACCGCTATGTGGCTATTTGCAAGCCCCTGCACTACCCCTCTATCATGAACTGGAGGCTCTGTGGCATCCTGATGGCAGTAGCCTGGACTGGGGGGTTTTTGCATTCTGTAATACAAATTCTCTTCACTTTTCACCTGCCTTTCTGTGGTCCCAACGTCATTGATCACTTTTTATGTGATTTATACCCTTTATTAGAGCTTGCCTGCACCGACACTCACATCCTTGGCCTTTTTGTGGTGGCCAATAGTGGATTTATCTGCCTCCTAAACTTCTCCTTGTTGCTTGTCTCCTATTGTGTCATCTTGCTGTCATTGAGAACTCATAGCTCTGAAGGCCAGAGGAAAGCTCTTTCCACCTGTGGAGCTCACATTACTGTCGTGGTGTTGTTCTTTGTTCCCTGCATATTTCTGCATGCCCGTCCTCCATCGGCTTTCTCCTTCGACAAGATGGTGGCCATATTTTACACGATGGTGACTCCCCTGCTCAATCCTTTGATTTACACTTTCAGAAATAAAGAAGTGAAAAATGCCATCAGGAAGTTGTGGACCAGACTGGTGGTGTTTTCTGATAAACATTTTTTAACAATAAACTTAAAATAGATCTTCAAAAGCAAAGCAATCAAAACAGCCTGAGACACGACCAGAATATTGGATGGACCTTGTAAGAAGCTAATGTAATGCAGCTGACAAGCACGACGGTGGATTTCAGGAAATTTCCACCTTGAACCACTCCCATTGGAGTTGGATGAGGCAGCTCAGGATCCTCAGTCTTAAGCTAAAGCGAGTCCCAATCTGTACTTTCTTGAATATAATCATGAAAATTTCAGTAGAAGAGAAATCAGGTGTTTTATGATCTGCCCTTCATACTCTGATTTTAAAAACATTTATATATAGGGAAAAAACCCTAAGTGATTAGGAACAGGCATTTACTGGAACTATTACATCTGAAGAAAAGTGAATTTAGGGGACCCTGATACTGGGTACAGAGCCCAGGTGGTGCGCGGATTAAGGATTTGGTTGCAAATTGAGAGTAGCAGGTGGAATTCACACAGTGCTCCATGCGAAGATGATGTAGCTGCTTTCATACAGATCATCGTTTTGGAAATATGATGGTCCGGTTATGTATGTCCTGTATGGTTATTATGAGTTGGAATTGGCTAGAGAGCAAAAGGAAGTGATGCCAGCGAATATGATGGGAAAACAACCAGGGCTCAGAAAAGCAGAGATCTGGGCATTCTCAGAAACTCGTGTGTTCTTGCATCACATGGTTCCATCCTTTAACATGGACTCTCTATTACAGAACGGAATTGCTTGGTGAATTTGTTGAGAAATAAGAGTTGATCGGCCATTTTCTGCCTGCAATGGTTTCCTCTTAGGTTTGGTAGCTACAGTATAGTAATCATGTGTCGAAAAATAAACTAAAAAAGCTCACTGCTGTTGAGATTTCAACTCATAGGGACCCTATAAAACAGGGTAGAACAGTCTCTGGGGGTTTCTGAGACTAACTCTTTACTGGAGTAGACAGCCTCATCTTTATTTCTAGGAGCTGCTGGTGGGTTCAAACTACAAACTTTGTGATTAGCAGCTCAGGATTTAGCCTACTGTATCACCAGGACTCCAGTGGAAAAAAGGAAGTGAAGCATATTCTTTAGGGAACCATTGATATCGTTCCTGTGACTTCAATCAAAGGGACTTTTGAGAAACCACTTTCCTATGAACAAATATTCAAGTTGTAGGTGTAGTGAGCTGACTATCAGATAAAGAGAGGGTAGAGCTTTTTGAGAGTGAAAAGTAGATTTCTTCGGTAGATTATATTCAGTTTACTTCATGATTTGAATTGTATTGACTGTCTACTCAAGTGAACATAATTCTACTTGGACTATAATTGATAATGACCATTAAAATTCAGACACATCTAAATTCTGCCTATGTAATATAAAATCCCCCACACTTCATTTTTTTATAACATCTCTCACCCTCTAGTTAATTGACATATTGTGTTTTTCTGCATTCTCTCATAGCATCACTGTGACATAGGAATTATTTCTATATGGTTCCCTACTGTATTTTATAAAACAGCCTGTCACATGAGGTCGGCAAATATTTGTTGAGTAAATTCAAATAAGTGAGACAGCCTTTATGATTCAGAGTTAAATGTATCTATAATATTAGCTCATTCAAACATTAATTTTGTCAAAATGGATATAGACATTACTGAGGTTAGTCCTTTTAGTTTGAAAAGGCATGTAGTTCATACTTTACTGTAATACAGAGAAAGTTTGTAATTAATTCTTTATTCTAGTTATTTCACATAGCTATGTAAAAAAAAGGAAATAAATGTATTGTTCTCAACCTACTTTTTTACATTCTTTTTCCTATCCCCTACAAAAATAAATGCTGTTTTAATTATTTGAATTTTATTCTGGACATTTATTCAAATGTTGATTATTTGAATTTTATTCTAATTCTTATATTAATAAAATCATCTCTTTCTTTCAACTATTTTATATTATTGATTGAATTTGAATTTTGTCAGTTTCTAAAATATTCACTAACAACCTAACTTTAATAAGGAAAAAAATTACATGAACTGGGTTTAAAATAGGACACTAATTCATCTTAAAAATACATGTAAGAAACAAGTGTATCAAACCCCAAATATATGTCATTATCTACTCTCATTTTACATAATTGAACAGTTCCAACAGCTGCATTTAATAACACCTGGTTTTTCTATGGTAGAAACTGAAGTCCAGTTAGGTAATCCGATCATTTGAAACAATATTTATTAACAACTGGTGATTAGTTAGAATTGACTTGATGGCAATGAAGATAGTGGGTGGATGTAGTCAGTTCATGTCAGATCTTGAAAGAACCTCAAGGGATCCTGTACTTAACTTGGTTGGGGGGCAGTTCAATTGCCTTCTCTGAATCTCTCTCTCTGTTTGTCTTAACCTCACTCCCTCCCATCCTCTTCTCTGTCTCCTTTCTATTGACTGCGAGATGATTCTAGTTCATGATAACCTCTTGTGTACAGAATTGACATAGGTTTTTTTTTAAGGCTAGGATCTTAGGGAAACATTTTTCCAGCACTTTCTTCTAAGGCCACCAAGTGCATTCGTATCACCAGTCTTTCAATTAGTAGATGAGTGCTTAAACGTTTGCACCACTCAGGGTCTCCTCCATTGGCTATTGTCATTTTCCAGGTCAACAAAATTCATAGCAGTATTGTACATATCTCAATAAAAGAAATACCTTTAGACTTGTATTTAAGGGAGTAAATAGCTAGGAGGCTATATCTAGTCCCCTGTGGCTACACAATGGAAAGGGAGATTCCAAATCTTCACCAGGTCAATGTTTATTGTCACGAGGCAGTGGTCAGATGGGCCTCCTCCTTTGTTCTGTCCTATGATTTTTGTGACATTATCAATGGAATTACTGTATGCCTTGATAATTCTATTATCAATAGAATTACTGTATGGATGATTAATAATGTTCTCAGTCATAAAATGATAATGAGATCTCTAAAGTGTACCAGAGATATACACAAACCATAGATAAATGAATAGATTTGGGGCTCTCACTTAATTCTAGCCCCAATCTAAGAATTGGTTCTTATTATTCAGCCCTGCTCAATGCTTGCCTTCATGAGGAGAAATTGAAGATATGGCTGCTATATAAAGTGTGGTACAGAACCCAGATAGTCCTAAGCAAGCAGAAACAAGAGCATCTGAGAGTTTAGAGGTTTATCTTAAAACAAGCAGTCATCTAAGTGCAATGTGAATGAAGTCCACGTGGAAGAAGCACACCACCTGAGGGATCCAAGCGATGTAAATAATAAAATCCAAATGAAGGAAGGAATGGCATCAGAGCTGAAAACATGAACACTTGATTCACAGAAGGTTATGGATGACACTGAAAATCCAGTGCTCATTTGCACAAAACTCACACGGGTTGGGCCTCTGATGAATTCCCTATTTATTCAATGTCCAACTTCCACATGCACATGAGGCAATTGAAAATACCATACAATGGGTCATCCCCACCTTAGATCTTAAAGTAATCACCTTTCTTTAAAATTTTTTTTCCAGCAATTTTATTGGGTTATATCTTACATACCCTACAAATGGACATCCCCTTACAGAGGGGTCATGGGGAGGAGATGAGTCAGTCAGGGTGCAGTGTAGCAATGATGATACATACAACTGTCCTCTAGTTCCTAAATGCTTCCTCATGCCCCACCCTCCCCACTATCATGATCCCAATTCTACCTTACAAATCTGGCTAGACCAGAGGATGTACACTGGTACAGATAGGAACTGGAAACACAGGGAATTGAGGACAGATGATCCCTTCAGGACCAGTCGTGAGAGTGGTGATACCAGGAGGGTGGAGCAAAGGTGGGTAGAAATGGGGAACTGATGACAAGGATCTACATATAAACTCCCCTCTGGGGAATGGACAACAGAAAAGTGGAAGAAAGAAGATGTTGGACAGTGTAAGATATGACAAAATAATAATAATTTATAAATGATCAAAGGTTCCTGAGGGAGGGGGGAGCAAGGAGGGAGGGGGGAAATGATGAACTGATAGAAAGGGCTCAAGTAGAAAGCAAAGGCTTTGAGAATGATGATGGCAACAAATGCACAAACGTGCTTGACACAATGGATGTGTGTATGGGTTGTGATAAGCGTTGTACAAGCCCCCAATAAAATGATTTTTTAAAAAACTGTAGCCGCTTTATAAGGTGTCTAAAGGTGACGAAACAATAAGATATTACACGTTGATGTAACTATGTCTGCCATAATCTTCATCTAGAAACCAAGGACAATGCTGACAAACTATCAGAAGCAGCTGATAAAATACTTTCTCATCCACTCTGCAGCAGGCAGCTTTAAGCACTGCTGGAAGATCCTTAAGCAAAACCTTTGAGCCATTGTTCATTCCTGTTCCATGCTAAAAATCCATTCTAAACCTATGAGAGATGGAAGTGTTCCTTAATGAATTTTTCTCAGATACATCGCCATGGCTTTTGTTTCCTTCTGGGTGTTCACATTCGGTGGTTTCACGAACAGGTCACCATTGTAGCACTCCAGCTAGCTGGGCACTCCCTGAGACGCACAGAAGAACATCTCAAGACTGGAGATTGAGTCATGAAGGAAAGGGAGAGGGACTCAAAAGAAAGACACACACCCCCTCCTGAGCTTCTTCACTCACTGGTTTTTATTTATACTCCAAAGGAGAACATTTACAAAAGCTCAAATGCTGGGGCAAAACTAGAGCACAATGTATTCAGTCCCAAGGTGTTTCCATGGATCATTACTAACAAACATTCTTGCGCTAACTTTCTCATATGATTAATAAACATTCTCATAGGCAAGCACACTTTGACCTAATGGAGTTCTTTTTGTCTCCGGCAAGGAATCTCCACATCGTTCAGCATTTGCACAAAGCTCCTGGTACATGAAAACAGTTACACACTCAAGGTTTTCACAGTCATTGTGCCCAAGCAATCCTCCCAGGGGACAATGTTCCCTACAGTAATCGACTCTGTGGTGCTCTCTGTCTGATAACAGGGCTATTCACATCCTTGCTCTTCA